TCCAACGCCCTAACACTCCATCAGTTGAGGTCAACAACGTCCCATCCAAAAAAATGCTCTGAGTTTCATAAAAGTCAGTCAATGCTTTCCAAAAGCACGAGCAGTGAACTCCAGGCCCACGTGACTGAACTAAAAATTGAAAGAAACAGACTAAGAAATGACGTAAGCTCCATGATCAAAACTGCCAAAAAGAATTTCATCAATGTCAAAACTGAGGAAAACAAAAATAAACCCTGTGAACTTTGGAATTTACTCAATAACCAGCTTGGCTGCAGTAAAAAACTCAAAACGAGATTTTCTAACTTAAACATAAAGACAGATAACAGGCTCATCACAGACAAACTGGATGTGGCCAAGTACTTGAACATTTTTTTCACAAACATAGCCACAACTCTTGTAAATAAATTACCCTCCCACTCAGGGCTTTTTGGAGTAGATCACATCATGACCTACTACAAAAACCTAGGGGTACGCAAAGATGATTTCAGTCTAGCAAGGGTAACAACAGCAGAGGTACTCATTAAACTGAGCGCCCTCCAACCTAACAAGGCCACTGGCCACGACAATATCCCCTCCAAATTCCTCAGAGACACAGCAACCGCCATCTCACCAGTCATAGCTCACATAATTAACCTCTCCATAAAACAGGGAAAAGTACCCAAAGACTTCAAAATTGCAAGAGTAACCCCCCTGCACAAAAAGGGCAGCAAATTGGACCCAGGCAACTACCGCCCTGTTTCTATACTTACCTCCATCTCGAAAGTCATGGAAAAAATAGTATATGAACAGGTCGAAAAGTACCTCGCGGAAAAGAAACTAATCTATGAATTTCAATCTGGCTTTAGAACATCCCACTCCACTGACACATGCCTTCTTTATTTGAGCGACCACATCAAACAAGAGGTGGACGAGGGCAAGTACTGCGGCATGGTGATGCTGGACCTACAAAAGGCTTTCGACACTGTCAATCACCCCATTCTGATTGACAAGCTAAAAGCAATTGGTTTTGATAAACTATCGGTGAGCTGGATGCAATCCTACCTGGAGGGGAGAGAACAGATGGTGGAGGTAAACGGTACTCTGTCCCCCCCCCTCCCAGTGAGCTGTGGTGTTCCACAAGGAAGCATATTAGGTCCGTTACTGTTCCTAATTTATGTAAATGACATGTCATCAGCATGTGACTGCAACTTGTTCCTGTTCGCGGACGACTCAGCCCTGCTGGTCTCTGACAGGAACGGGTTGCAGGTTGAAAAAAACCCTCAGCTCCGAGCTCGGCAGAATCTGCACCTGGCTCGCCGATAATACATTATCATTACACCTGGGTAAAACAGAGTCCATTCTCTTCGGTTCGAAACATAATCTCAGCAAATCCGACGACTTCTCAGTTGCAGTGGGTGACATTATTGTCACAAGTAAGAAGGAAATTACATACCTAGGATCTATTCTTGAGGCAAACCTCTCCTGTGACAAAATGGCATCCAATGTAATAAAAAAAAAGTCAATCAAAGAACTAGATTCCTATACCGGATCTCCTCTCTGGTAAACAAAAACACCCTTAAAACTCTGGCAGGAGCACTCATTCAAGGGTACTATGACTATGCTTGCACGTCATGGTACCATAGCACCTCCAAGGCGCTAAAAATAAAACTTCAAACATCGCAAAATAAACTGGTCAGACTACTGCTTGACCTTTCATCTAGAACCCACCTCACCTCTGCCCACTTTGACAACCTAGGATGGCTTAGAGTAGACGACAGAGTACAGCTACTTGCAATGGGCCTGGTCTACAAGATCCACTACACCTCTATGGTACCCATGTACATGTCAAAATTCTTCCCAAAGGTCAAGGAATACCATGATCATAACACCAGAGGGAGCTCCACAAATCATGTGAAACCCAGATTTGGCACAAAAAAGGGGGAATACACGTTTCGCAATTATGCCACATCAAGGTGGAACGCTCTTCCCACAACTGTAAAGGAAAGTAAAACTATACTTACCTTCAAAACCTCTCTTAAAGAGCACCTTCGGGGGAGAGCATTGCAAAACTGGCCCCGGTAATGGTACAAATCTCAACCTGTCGTTCAATGGACAGCTTCCCCCCCCCCATCTATGTATATACTCGCATTTTAGACTCTGTTACTAACTGTATATCTGTAGACTTGGTATGTCTTAAATGTCCGGTTAGGATGTATTAGAACTAAATCTAAAATGAAAATTGTAAATAAGCAATCTGTATGTAAAAAACCACCTGTATGTAAATTGTAAATAAGCCATCTGTATGTCAAATATGTCTTATATGTCTTAAATGACATGATGAATTGGAAATGGGGGACCCTGATGTAAACAAGACGAAAGTCTTTCTCTGGTCTGCATCCCCTTAACAATTGTATGTTTTGAGCTGTACTGTACTGTACCCAATATACAAGCTGTTAATAAACTTTTCAATCAATCAATCAATCAATCAAAATCCTAAAAATAAGCTCATATTTGAATTCCCCATAAAAAAACACATCATTCAGTAAAAACAAGGCCCCACTGATCATCTACTCTCTGAGACGATTCCAGGGATGTCTGGCTTGAGTTTCGACCACCAGGGAAAGTGGACAAAAGTGCCCGAGATCAGCCTCTTAATTTACCCAGGGCCTAGTGCTTGGCTTTGGGCATGAAAATTCAGGAAACTCCCCTGAGTATTTTATTAAATATCTGAACTTTGGAGAGGAGTTGGGGAACACACGACACATCAAATCACATCTACAGATCAAGACGAAGCTAGTGGAAGTACTCCTAGCGTCTGAAAATGTTTGTGAAAAACGTGTGCAAAGTATCCGAAAACGGAGCAGTGGCTGTGATGCTAGCTTTGCGGCTAGCGGTTAGTTGTTATTGTTTGAAGTTGTTGCTATGGAAACAACATGACGGAGAAAAAAATCAATATCTTCTACATGTGAAGGTAAACTTCTGTTGTTGCAATGTTGAGGTAGAATGAAGGAGTCTGGAACGTCGATTAGCCAAAGCACTGAGAGTTTATTGATCACAGTACATTAATTACATACGGCCGGGAGATCATCTTAGTTTCCCACCGTCCCGTGGTCCACCTTGCTTATCTCTGGCCCCAAAGCCACAAACATCGCTGCTACACGAGGAGAGGCCGGCCCACAGAAAGCCCGCGTTTACCTAATCAATAGCCGATGGAAGACAATGAACTACTTGTCTCAAAGAGATGCAGCCAGGTCTCAAACCTCCCCCACGGATATAGGAGAAGCGTTTGACCTGTGACCTCAACTTATAGAGGAGTCTTTGAGTGACTACAAGCAGATGTTTGCAGTATCACAGATTCTAAGAAACAATAAAAAGCTCTATAAACAGATCAGATTAAAATATTCTCTTACACTACATATAATAACGGACAAAGTAAAGAATGAAGTGTAGGCTATGCCTGTTTGAAGTTGTTGCTATGGAAACAACATGACGGAGAAAAAGTATAATCTTCTACATATAATAACGGACAAAGTAAAGAATGAAGTGTCGGCTATGTTTAAATGTTCGGAATTTGACCGTGTATGATGGCCCTCTTGAGTTGCCTTACAATCCGTCATATGACGGATGACGGATGCGACGGATGCGACGGAAATACACCCGAACACATCTGGTACTGATACCGGAAGTCCCCGGAGTTGGGGACTGGCTTCAGTAGAAGCTGCTGGGACTCCCAGCAGCTTCTACTGAAGCCTTCCGAGTAAATCGCCAGAACGCTGACACCTCCTCATCTCCACCGCTCCCATGTTTTATTTTGTGTTGCCATAAGTTAGTCTCTCTGCGTTTCTGCGCTGGGCTAATGCTAATAATGTTAATGCGTGGATAATAAAATGGCGGCTTCACAAAACTTTTTGGGAGTTTTACGGGCCGTGGTTTGCAATCTGCCCAGCCAATCAGACATAGGAACCTTTTTCTCCCACGAAAGTCCCTGCTCTCTAGCAGGGGGGTGAAAAGGTTCTTATGAACTAATTTTAGTTCCGGCTCTTTTTGGTGTGAACGCAACATTTCGGAACTATATCGGAACTAAAGTGGGAAAAGTACTGCGTTGTGAACGCGCCTAATGGTATATACAGCCCAATGGTTCTCAGCACAAGGGTTAGATAAGGAGAGACAGATCTGAGGCATTGTGAGATGCTTAATGTGGTAAGCAAGATAATATGGTTAAGCTACAAAGTTGTTCTTTACATTTTTCAGTTACAGTACTTGGGTATTGTAGTGACCTTCCAGCACTGAATTTAAGTTCAACATAAACTGTTTATTCCTGAGTATACCATTATTTGTTTACATCAGTTCTTCATTCAAGGAAAGTGCAGTAGAATCAGGAAGCGTTGCTTTGCTAATTAAAACACAGTATTAACCAGCCATTACATTGTTCTGCATCCCAAGCCAGCGCCTCAGATGATCAATATAGCTGCCAAAATGGAACCGGCCGCTTTGATGAAGCTCACAGTGACGTCAAAGCAATAGAACAGTTCAAGGGTGGAAGGTTTATGGCTCCTGCACATTAGCTTGTAAATGGATTATGACATTTATCAGTAGAAAAGTTGCCCCGCTATATTATCAAGTCTTGCTTCCAACACCTCTACACTTCTCTCAGAGGGTACTTTTTCAAAATATTCAATCCTTATCACGGTCACCAAAAAGCTGTCAGGTAGTTTGTGTCATCCTCCAAGTCATAGTATTTTTTAATTTAGTGACATCTGGTGGTAATGTAGAATGGAACTGAAGTGATTTATTTTGGTAGGCTTCTTCATTAAACCAGTTGCTTATGACACATTTGAGGAGGCCTTTTTTTTGGGTAAGAACAACATAAATCACAAACAACAATAAATCACTGCAAAAGGGTAACTTTATTGAAGAAAACAGAAAGCCAGCAAACAAGCTGGTTTAAAAAAGTCTACATTGTATATTCAACTAATTGAAATTCATCAGCCTTTTAAAGATCAGTGGTCTCACTTGCAGGTTGTTTGTATGACACATTATAACCTGAAGCAGCTACAACATCTTTTCATAAAGGCTGTCATTACACAGGGCTCAACCCATCTCCTCACTGCTGGAACACACCGGTTCACCGTTCACAACATACCACACCTCATTGTAGCTGTCAAACATCTTCCTTGGACTGCAAGAAACAAATGCACACACAATACATTTATGGCAAAATATAAAAACATTAACACAAGTTTTTCTCTCATCAACAATTTTCTTTTTGGTTATCACTAAGAAAATGAGGGAGATTTCTTTACCTGTTATATCCAACAGCATAGTTGTGGTCTTTTTCATAGTTTGCACCCGCCGAGTCTAGGTAAGAGGACAGAGCATACGCTTCGCTTTTGTAGAGGAAGCTCGACATCAATCCTTTATAGCTCCGTACATACACCTTCATTGCGTCCATGTGACCGATCTTCACCTGCAAGTAAGCAACAATGTTTTATTATCTGCTGAAGCTGACAGATAACTCACATAATTAGTTCTCAAGAAAATATGTTTTTTTATTTTTCTCCAGTGTTTTTTGACATAAAGGCTTACCTTCCTATCATTAGGTCTGGGGGGATTGGCCTGATGTTCAGCGGGCATCAAGAAACTCATTGTGTATATATACTTTTTCATACCGAATATAGAAAAAGATGACTTGTCCTCAGCAATGTTTATGATAACAGGAGCTGTCATTTCAATGCCGAAGTCTGAAGGTAAGCACCATAAAAATACAAGTGTTATTTTTTAAAGAAATGTCACAAAAAGTAAATGCATAAAAAAATATATATATTAGGGCTTATACATCAGATAAACTATTTCTGCTCTCTAGAACAACTCAATATTGTAATTATAATGTCAGGAAAAAAAACGTTTCAATTGTAGCTGCACCACATATTGAAACACAGTAGTACTATTTTTTATACTATGTTCCTGGCAAACATAATGATTAAAACTTATGAAAACATTTTACTCTTTACATTACACTCTCATCCATCTATTTAAATGCTAATGAATGTTCTCTGTAATGTTTAACTTCTGTAGTGTATTCAAATGTTGTGCTGTTTTGATTTTCTGTTTTGAGTCTTCTCTTTCAATAAAACATTAAATAAAAAAGATAAATAACCACCTTTGATGTAGTTAAACAGTCTGCGGAATAATGGGAAGATTGCAAAGTCCATGAAATAGCTTTTCTCTTCAGTCCAAACCCATGTCACATTGCCATAGTCACGGACCTGAGAGGCAAAAACAAAGAAACGGGAGTGGGCTTTGAAAACAATTTGCACCTCAAATATGAACTGGTTTGTCTTTGCACACTTACCTCATATTCATCAGTCTTACAAATGGAATCAAACAGCAGACACTGTTCGGTCTCAGAGCAGAAGTCAAGTTCAGAGGAGCTCCTGTGTATTGACAAAGACATTTAAAAAAAAAGGCAGAAATGCAGACATCAGGGAATATACTGTACAATAAACAGTATGAAGTGTTCTTGTCAACTAGATTTATGACAGTTTTATTTAATGTATAAAATATAGCAGTAATAAACTTTGCCGGGATCTGAGTAAAGTATTTTTTTGATCTGTAACTGAAGTGAAATGCAGGCAGGAATCTACAAACATGAGGGTTCAATTCAGGTTTCTTACCCAATCCTGGCCTCAGCCGTTAGCACCAACAGGAAGCCAACAAGTCCTGAAATGTAAATCCTAGAACACACAAACAATATTTTCCAAAATATTGAACAAGCAATTGTTGTGCATTTGAAAGTTTTCATAGCATTTCAAATGAGTTCATACACTTGGAAATACTATGCATTGATTTTCATGTAAGACATCTGAACAATAAAAGTATACTTACATCATAGCAGAGTGTTGGGTTCTGTGCTCCTGAAGTTGGATACTGAGAGTCTGGTCCAAAGCATCCTTTTATTCCAACCCTGGTTATGAAAGGAGAACTGGCCACTCCCTGAACCCCTAACGCAAACCAGACGACAGATTTTCACAACCAATGGAAACACAAAGCAGAAAACTGGGAATAATTATGAAACAGAGAGACACGCTAGGCTGCACGTGTCATTTAGATCACACATTTTATACTAACAATTTAGATTATCTTAAGGGAGATTTAGTTTAGACTCCTCTGTGACAGGGGGTGAACACATTTCCAATGTTTAACACTATACCCAACACAACAGCACTGCAACAAATACATGACTTTGAAAGATTAGTTTGTTCAGACAGCCAGTGACAGGTGAAGATATTACTGTCTTAAAACAATAATAATATCAGCTAAAAGCGCCAATGTATCATTGGGTGATATTTGTGTGCATGTGGGTCAATGTGTGCAACATGACTGTAGGAGCGTAGGTGAGACAGGTTATCTTAGTCTGGCTGGCTTCATATAGGTTCTACACTTTTGACTTCAATTTGATCTCTTACTCTGGAAAGTATATAATAGACAATTGTACAATTGTATGCTTAAAGTCATTTTCTGTCTTTGTGCAAACCTCAACAGTAAACTTCAAACAGAATATCGAAGGTAAAATGTAAAAATAAACATTCTGAACTATTTATTGACCGTTTTTTAGATGTAATTTGTTGGTCGTTGTTGAAGTGTGGTCCCATGTCCCCACTGGTCATCACAATACACTACATACACTCAGTGGTCACTTACTAAGTACACCTTTGGTCCAATGCAAACCTGTTTTTCAATCACTGTCACTAGTTGGTGGTTCAAGTTTCATCTCTTACTGAATGAAATGATGGAAACGCCTTGTTCCCATGCCGTATTATTTACCACCATATTGTACAAAATGTCTTAAACAACCCTGGACACACAACAACAGAAACAAACAACTGGGTTGGACAGAAACTATGTAAGATTCATGTAACATAAGAAGTCCGAACATTGCATCTTTTGTGATCCTGTGATAGATTTCTGCAGTGCCGCCCCTGGCCAACTTGGGGCCCCAAGCGACATTGTGAGATGAGGCCCCCCCCCCAACCGACAGGAGTGAAAACATTTTTATTGGAAACAAAGTACTTTGCAAATATAATTCCTGTTTATTATAATTATCAATACAGTTACTTTGTATACAGTGAGGTAAATGGTAAATGTGCATGTATGTCGTTCAGTGTGCGTTTACAGGTGAATACGTCTGCATTTCCTGCCAAATACTAGCCACATGCTCAAAAACTGATATTTCTTAAATCTGTATTCAAATGAAGTTCCCTCTGTCAGCAATGTATCAACAACTACACACACATTTCTATCAGTATTTCTCTGTGTTGTGGTTGACATGACGATGACTGTTACGGCCCGTTCACACAGCGGCTATGGAAAAAGCTTGCCGGCGGGCGTGTCTGAAGCTCGACCAACAACCAATCACATGAATCTCCCGCCCCAGACACACAAGCAGCGGTTTGATTGGCTAGAGCTTGTACTGGCATATGATTTGATTGGCTGACGCTTCCACCGAAAGCTTCAGAAGCTTAAAAAGTTGAACATTGCTCAACCTTTGCAGCCTGAAACACCAGGAAAGCTCCGCTCTGCTTCCCACAATGCAGTTCGGCGAAAAGTGACGTCACCTGCAGTCAAAGTGAACGGGCAGAAGCGTTGGAAGAAGCTGTGTGGACGGGCCGTTAGGAGTTAAGGGGAGAGGCTGAGCATCACCATGAAATGTGCAAATTGACATAAAAATGAATAAAAGGGTAAAAAATGCTCCATGTTTTTTAGGCTGTAAACTTGAACTGTTATGTAAGCCAACTAGACAAACAGTGTATCACTCTTCCTCCTGTACATTAGCAGATAAAAGGCATCACATACTTGAATGAATGTTAAATAAAGAATGCTGGAAATAACTGCATCTCCATTAGCCTGTATGCTCTGCAGAGACTGCCTTCTTCATGTCGTGTATTGCAGCTGATGTTTTAATATGGCAATTGGCAATTTGACTTATACAACATTCGCAAGCTGTACATTTGACTCATACAATAACACACCTTCGAGTGATGCTCTAGTTTCTTCATGTTTTTTTTTTTTCCCTCTTGCTTGCTCCGGACTGAAACTGTCTTTTCACCGACATCTCTTCACCTGCACTAGTGGCCGTATCAAAACCGTGTTGGTCAGACGTCGATTCATTGCAATGGTGTCGGGTTACAGACGTGCTCCCCTTGTCACCTCTCACTCTCACTCTCGCGGGGGGTGCGCGGAGAACTGCGCACAGCAGCTGAGGCCCTCTGGGCGGGGCCCCCTGCGCAAGGCGGGGCCCCATGCAGCCTGCGTGATTGGCCTGTAGGGAGGGGCGGCCCTGGATTTCTGTACCTGCAGAAAACGAAATCCCTGGAGTTTCTCCCCATTTCAAACAAATGCATTCTACCACAAGACAAAAGGTTGAATCTCGCCCATACGTTTAAAAGATAAGAGAGTTTTGGTGCACGACATAGAAGAAAACTGTGTGCTGTTGATACATCTTTATTTCAAAACTAAAAAGAAGATGTTTAAAAGAAAGAAATACTAAAGCAAAACCAACTGGTAAATTGGCAAAGAAGAAGACGTGAATTATTGAAATTATCATATTCACCTGAATACCTTAAGGTCTCATATTTGACCTTTGGTTTTTGAAATAAATAAAAATAAAAAAATCGGTAAAAATAAATAATGTGTTATTAAGTGAATCTAAAAACTGCTGGTATGGAACTTTTCCAGTGCAGTAACAAAATGCTGCAATAGTTTACTGTCACTAGGTCTGAAGGACATGCACGCTACTGAACATAATTAAGAATTTTAAGAAAACAGTAGATTTTTCATCAAATATGTTATGGAAATACTAAAATCCATAAAACAAACCTCTTTGAATTGGATTTTTAATGTTTTTTTATTTGATCTGATTTTTTTATCATAACTTCTTTCATTGAAAAGTATAATTTTCAATAGTTTCCATTTCATGTTACAAAGTGAAACATCACTGGACGAATTGTATTTTAGTGTTTTGTCAGCCTTTGCAGGTACGACGCTGGACGATTAGGCCACAACTATTTTAATTGGATTTGAGTGATTTTTCCAATTTAAATCAACATTTTATTGAAAATTCAGCATTTTTCTAAATAAAAAGTCTTGCTTTTTTTGTCAATAGCTTTCAGGTCATGTGACCAAGAGACTCCTAATGAATACAGCATTGTTCTACTACACTGGGAGTCAGGACATTTATATTATTGGATGTTATTTCCTTTAAATATTTTTTCTTTATACCATCAACATAAATGTAGAAGCATTAACATTAGGAGACCTTTGATGTGTTTCTTGTAGAACCTTACTTTATGACAGGGAAGTTATTGAATACGTTTGTAGGCCTATGTCTTTTCAGCGTTGCACTTTCTGTACGTTTCCCTCTCCACAGGCTGCATCATAATTTTAAAGCTCCTTAAGGGAGAAAATTATAACCTTCTACATAAACACTGAATGGGGTAACCTGAGTAGAATCGAATGAAAGGATGTCCTCTCATGAGAAAGCACATAGGAGGACATGGTAAACCCGCCCTCAGGCCAGCTCTCACGCATTCTCAGTTTAACACAAGCTAGATGTAAGCAAACCTGTGTGAATGGTAGCCTGCCAAATGAACTTACAGTAGCGGTGTTAGACTGTTAGTTATTAAAGTTACTATAATAACAAACCTCACCTGGTTCTTGAACAGCTAGCTAAAAAACACAAATCAAATTTAATGTGATTGTTTCACCGCGACGACAGTTTTTGATTGTTTTATTTTGATAGTTGTTACCGGAAATATCCATCTGGTGTTGTGGAAATAACGGGTAACCTGTGTGTTTAGTGTCCTCCAGTGGTCACATTGAAGAACTGCAACACTAAAACAAACAATCCCTTCACCATGTTATGCATAATGCACTGCACACATTATCCGATTCCCTTACATAACACATGTGTGAATGGATCATTTGTTTTGAGGCAGACTGATTATTAGAAACAGAAATGTTATTGTAAATGTTGGCGTCTGCTTAACTTTACGTGTGGTTGAAAGTGTACTATTAATTCGTGGCTTACTGCTACCCTGGGGACACAATGGAGAACTGCAAATAAAGTTTGTTGGGATACTACAGAAAATACTTCCGGCAAAAACTTTCAAAAAGAAAATGTCAAATTTGAAACGCAATTCAAAACTGTAATGTAGTCCTACAGACCTTATTTTATGCGTTCAAAGCGATAGACACAGATTATTAATGTTACCAATGCTAACGGTACTGTATTACTAATACACTTTGTCATCAAACCGCAGTAAACCGAAATGACACATCATGTAACAAATGGATGAATTAAATTAAGATAGACATTTTTTGATTAAGTCATTTGTGAACATACTCTTTCTTATATTAAAATAAATAAATAATAACAATACTTTCTGTTATTAGCTATTTTGAGAACTACAACGGTTAAAGAACCAATTTCAAAGAACTACAACTCCCACATACTGAGCCGAGTGACCAATTTCAGTAGCCTAATCGCTGGGTTTATGTAGCCTCCTGTCCCGCTGTGACTTGCTCGGGTTCCTCCTCCCTTAATTATGCATCAACATTATTTATCGACTAGCTAGTTTTGTAGCCTACAGTCTTTATTTCCCATTTCTGCTGCTGTGGAGGACGCTGCACGCTCTACAGGTTGGTAGACTTCAACACCAAAGCAGAACCACAGGCCTCTGAACTTTGATGAATTTAACTCTTTCTGTAGGTAGGCCTACTAACATTGTCTGGAGTACATTATATTCCCATCACAACCTTATTGTATATTGTATAATCTTTGTTGTTACTTTAAATCTACTGTTGGTGATAATTTACTATCATGGCTTTTTTTGTTTTTTTTTACGCCATTTTATATCACAACTTCTCTTTATGACATAGGCCTACTATAATCTGAATTTTTTTTAAAGAGATGCTATACTTTTACCTTTTATGACTTACTATACTATGATTTTTTAAATATAATTATTATATGACATTTAAATGAAATATATGTAATTCCATACTTTGGTATTCTTACGACTTTAAAAAATAAATAAAACCCTTAATGACTTTTGAATTAGATTTTATGACATGCCTAGGACTATTACGCCTTTTACAAATAACATGTTATACTATTTTGACCCACTTACTATGAAATTGTAATGGCATACGCCTATACTATAATAGAACATTTTTCAATTACTTTTTAATGAATTACTATACAATTGGCATTACTGAACACATAAAAAGACATAGCACTACATATTTTTTCACATTAGCTATGCAAAGGTATTGCTTAGCTAGAATGTATTTTATTAGACTTAATCTAACAACTTCAGCGTGAATGCCTATAGACCTGGAACTTCCTACCCATAAACGTTAACATTTATACAACCTAAACATGAGAAATTCCAACATTCATTACATTCATCACTTATTAGGGTTTATATTTAGTTATCGTGTTGTGAATCTCATGACTCTTCACACTCAGTGATTTTTGCTGTTAAAGGGTTCAAGTGTGAATGAAAGGCCACAGTGGAAGAATTACTAAACTTGCTGTTGTAGCGGCTACAAATTCCAGTATGTGTAAATCAGATTAGAGTTAATATAATCGCTGAACACATACCAAAGTAGCCCTAGTGGTACCATACATTGGAAGGTTAGCATTTCACATCAAGTGATTCCCTCTCAGGGCCGAAATAGCTACCTATATTTTAGAAGATGTAGTAGAAAAATGCACTTTGTGGTGGTTCAGTTTTCCTTTTTATGTGAGGTAAATGGCCAAATCAAAAACATCAATTTAAAACATATAGATTTGATAACACATCACAGAGGGAAAAAAACAAAGACCACCTATTTTGGGACCAGTTTTCACCGATCATACAGGAAAATAAAGATGATAAACAAAAAAACGAGAGACACTAATTGTTCCACGTACATTATTGTCATTATATCATAGTCAAATAAAGTTGCTGCATTTAGTGCAATTTGAGCCTACAATGCTGTGTGAATTGTTATCAGATAAAAAAATTAAGTAAATGACTTGACTTAGCATGTTTGAATTGTTATCACAAAATAAAATGTTATTGTCCAGATTGTACATGATGATGATGATGGTGATGATGATGATGGGATTCTCTTTCAGAGATCATAGAGCCATGGGAACCAGGAGGGTGCTGGTGACTGGCTGCTCCTCAGGCATTGGCTTGGCTGTGGCTGCACGGCTGGCCAAAGATGAGCTCAGACGGTTTAAAGGTCAGCCTTTCACTCTCATTAACAAGAAAAAAAGTAGACGATAGAATGAATTACAGTATAGCTACTTACAGCAAGTGTTTTCATTTTTTATCTGAGGCAGTGGTTGCCACAATGAGGGATCTTGGGAAACGAGGGCCCTTGGAGAAAGCGGCAGGTGACTCCTTAAACAAAACCTTGGAAATCAAACAGTTAGATGCCTGTTCTGAATCCTCCATCAGAGAGTGTGTCAACAGCCTGCAGGACAGACGGGTGGATGTTCTTGGTCTGTCTCATTTAATTCACATTCTCATTTAATTCACATTCTCATAGACACGTTTTTTAATCTCTCCAAAGTATGACGTTAAATACTCCGCTGTTATAGTGAACAATGCTGGTCTTGGTATGATTGGACCTCTGGAGTGCCAAAGCATTGATGCCAGGAAGGAGCTCTTTGATACAAATTTCTTTGGCCTGGCACGTCTGGTGAAAGAGGTCTTACCTGACATGAAGCGGAGGCAGAGCGGCCATATTGTCGTGATGAGCAGCGTCATGGGAACACAGGGTGCGTTTGTTTGTGTCCCTGAAATTGCACAGAAGCTTATTAAAAAAGAATTAGGAGCTTGTTAACTTGTGCCCTTATGTTTCTACACAGGACTTCTTTTCAATGACGTTTATTCAGCCTCCAAATTTGCTGTGGAAGGATTTTGCGAAAGTCTGGCAGTGCAAGCGTTGAAGTTTAACATCAAGTGATTGCATTACAAGTCTTGAAAACTGTATCAGCTTTAACAACATAATGCAGGCACCCCACAACTAAAACTTAAGTAACATCACAATATGACTCATTGACTGTAATGTAATTTTTTTATTTACATCTCTGTCACAAGGACGACTCTAGTGGAACCTGGCCCTGTTGTGACAGAGTTTGAAAGAAAGGTGTATGAAGACGCTGAGAGTATTGATTTTTCAGGGACGGATAAGGAGACCGCCAAAATCTTTCGTGAAATTTACCTGCCATACTCTAAAAAGATTTTTGCCTCATTAGGCCAGACACCAGAGGAAGTAGCTGAGGCAAGTGATGACTTTTATTTTTCTATTTCAGATTAGAAGTCATTAAGAATGAGTGGTTTTGCCAGTCCAAATACATAATGAGGAAGTACCCTCCAGTGTTAAAATATGTGTCTCTTTTCTCTAGCAAACCGTTAAAGTGATCACAGACAAGGAACCCCCTCTGCGCCACCAGACAAACCGCCTGTACATGCCCATGACTGCACTGAAGCACGCTGATCCCACTGGACGTCTGCCTCTGGATTCCTTCTATAAGATGACCTTTAAACATGACAAAGTGTTCAATGCTACTCTAGCGATGCTGCACTTACTGAAGAGAATAGGAGGGAAGAAATAAAGATTTTATGGCCAGGTTGTATAGACTATAACAATTATTCCTAAGGAGACAGTTATAGTAATACAACTTGTCACAGATTTTTAAATATAACTTTTAACTGTAGGATAATGATATGTATTAACAAGAAGTTTATATGATAAATATGTACAATAACTAATTTACCTCCTTTATTGTTTTTATGTAATTTGTTTTGTTTTAAATGTTTCTATCGGTTTTTACAGGTAAACTTGAGAAAATCATATCGTTATGAAAAAATGAATACAAATCGTGGTGTACAAATTATTCAAAAAAATACGATTTGGCGTAATCGATTGTCTGGAGATCAGATAGATGTACATTCATTTTTGTGGCAATATATTAGACAGTAGCTTGCGATGGAGTTTCAAATCACGGAAATATTAATTCTAAAAATGTTTGTGAATATAATGCACTCAAATGCCTCAAATTGGATTTCAGACATTGTGTATTAACATCAGTCCCAAATACAGCATTTATTGTGCGGCTTTTGTGTTGGACAGAGAATGTTACATTTCAGACAATAAAAATATGAAATAATTAATCATCTAAGTGCATTTTGAGTTTTATTTACATAACTATTATAATGATGACCTGAAATAATGATCAACTGATCACTGAAAACCAGAACACAAAAAATGTAGTTCCCTATAGTTTTATTGTAAGTAACTTTACAACTTTTGACTGTAGAAAGAACACCGTGGAAAGCTTTTAGATTTTAGTATTTCAAACTACCTTTTTAAACAAGTATAGAAATGAATAATGATAATAAAATATCTATGACTAATAACACAAGACAATAAAATATCAGTCACAGCCTCAGTTTCAAATAATGCTAAATGAAGTACATTTTATTTTTGTCCTTTTTAGTACATAACAATCCTTTCAGAAACATAAGAACTACCCAGAAAAAAACATATTTACAAACAGAAGTTGGGAGGTTGAAATGTACAAAACACTTAGTGCGACCTGGTAGAGAAATTGAAAGACCAGTTATATATAAAAAAAACAAAAAAAAAACAGTTTCTTGTTAGTAAAATGTGAACTGTTCATAGGGACAACAACATGTTTCCCAGGTCTGACAAAACAGTAACTGAGGCTATGGTGAACAGGATAAAACAATGAATGAAAGATAAACTCTATGACACAACTAGGGGCAGTGTTAGGCCACCACAACGGTAGTAGCTAGGAATGATGGCCTGCTAATTTCTGTTTATGACATCATAAAATGAAAATGCAATGGTTACTTTTCAAAATGCTACAATTATCAAGTGACTTTATGTTGAAATGTCCATACTACGTTAGGGAGAGGATTACCTCTATCCATAAATCTCAGGTCATGTGGGGGTAAAGCGTCGGTCAGGCATAATACAAGGTGTCAGCTGGATGACTGGGAGTGTCATCTCAGATTTGTGTAAAAGGTTTAAGGGGGCAGCACTACATAGTAGTGTTCTTTCCTTCAGTCTCTTCTAACAATCATCTTAAGATGCATCTCCACTGCCCCTGGACTGGGAGCTACTGTAGATGCAAGGGAACCGTTCCATTGCATGCCATAAAACACCTCCCTGAGGAGTGACAGGGCGTCAGCAGTCGCAGCCCAGCAGTTACACCCTCACACTGACCACTATTCCACCACGGACACTACCAGAGACCAGGCAAGAGTTTCAACAAGACCTACACTGCTGCAGATAATCCAGGAATGTTTCCATTTAGTCCAGTAAAGGACACTATGTGGACTTCTGCCTGTCAGTCGTCTGTTTCTACTGTGTTGGATGATGCTGCTGAAAGGCACACCGTACACACTTAACAAGACAGGCAGAATGGAGGAATGCTTGCAGGGAAGAGTGATATAAAATAGCAGCTGATAAGCATAGCTTAGTACATCCGAAGTGATATTGAGAAAAGGTATCCATGGTTTTCACAAACAAACAGAGTATAAATCGACCGTAACAAACAAAAAAAAGAACACAAACTAAAGGGCAGTGAGAGGCTGATTTTAAAGGCAAAGTAATACAGGTGACAGTAACATTGGAGGTAAGAGTCCCATAGAAGCAGTGGGAAACAACAGATTACACCTAAACCTGTACTCTTACGATTACTTTTGAAAGTTCATAGCAACAATTACCATGTATTAAATGCCACCCATATATTATAAATATCCATTGCAGTTATATGTTGTATTTGACCCACACTCGCCCTTTGAGGCTGGTCACTTGAAGTGCTTCAAAGACACTCATCTACATTCTTATTCATAATACTCTTATGGAAAGAAATCAATATCCACAATTCAATCAAATCAGAATATATCACTACTGCTGAGAAACTTTTAATATATATCTGCAAGAACCAGTTTCTCATCTTTACCAGGTGTCGTTGGCCTAAATAAATATCAGTCACTCGAGGTGAAAGTTCCTCTTTCTGTCTGTTAACTTGTCTGAAACATGAATTATATTCCTTTACCATCACTTGCCACGTTGGCTAAATAGAAATGTAGGCATTCAGTATAAAATAGGGGGGGGGGGGGGGGGGGCGGGGGGGGGATACATTATTTGAGAAGCTAGAACAGAAATACACTTTTAAAAAAAAGTAATTCAGAGATAAAAACAATAAATAAAAATAAATGAATTCCCTTCAACATTTTACTTTTTTCTCATATCTACTTTTTAAATGTTTGTTAGTTTCCAGGAGAGCACACCTAAGCCTTTGAAATGAAAGACTTGGTTTTCTTCATATACTTTTTTATAATAAAAAACAAGTCCATCTGTGACAGAATTACTTCATTAAATTGTCTGCTGTTTGTTCAGACAACACACATTTCCCTTTACTTTTTTCTCTGCAAAAATCACTAGCAGACGCTCCTTGTGATAAGCATAGTCAATCCAAATCCAATGAAAATCTTGGAAACAGGCTGACACATATAAACAGACAGGCCCGAGAGCCAGTCCACACATTATTTTACCTCAGGTCCCTTTTCAAGCAGGGGCCATGAGATCTTTACGCAAACACCTGCATCTTTCCATTTGCCTCTGGGATTTGAGAAATTTGGGTCTGGGCAGGGCCAGCTACTGCTGGGCTTGGTGTAGAATCTGACCAATCAGAGACGCAGTGAGGAGAGGGGCTGGACCAGGGCTCTGGAGACTCTGGGGAGGGGGTCAGGTAGGGGTGCTCACTGGGCAAATGGAGGTAATGCTTGGGCGTGGCATCTAGTGCAGATGAGTAGCTGTGCTGAGAGGGAGGTGTAGGGTAATCCTCCGTTCCTGCAGTGCTGCCACTATGCTGGGAAGGCAGAGCCTGAGAGGGCTGGGCTGTTGTGGGGGCTGCCTGGGGGGGTTGAGCTGGAAGCTGGGGCTGAGAGGGTTGCTGGGGCATCTGCTGCTGCTGGAAGAAGGATGGTGGCGGCTGGGAGGTCTGAGGAGTCGGTGGGGAAGAGGTGCCAATGCGGGCCATGTTCTGCTGGTTGGCGATGGAGTGGTTGAGAAGCTGCTGCTGCTGCTGTTGCTGCTGCTGCTGCTCAGCAATGGAGGGCAGCTTGACTGGGCTGATGGTGGGTGTTGAAGTAACAGGTGTGGGCTGCAGCATGGCGTTACGGTAGAGCTGCTGGTGCATCAGCATGGTCTGCTGCTGCATGGCTGGGCTCTGGGGGTGCATGCCTGCCTGGCCACTCTGCACAAGATTCAAAACCTGCTGACCACACTGAGAGGAAGACATCCGGCTGTGCCAGTCAAAGGGCACACTCACAGGACTGACCAAGCCCATGTTGAGCCCCATCTGGCCTGAACTCATCACATAGCCATGGTTGACATCTGAAGCCATGGAGACACGTCCCTGCAAGGACATTCCTCCAGATCCTAGGTCATTGAGTTGGGCTAGAGACACTGCAAAGGGGCCACTACCATCCAACATGCTACTATGTATCATGGGGGTGTTTGGGACAGACATAGATGTGTGGTAGAGCCCTGGTGACTGCATGGCCACAGGGGAAGTGGGGTTGGTCATGTAGCCAGCATTGCTAGCCCCCCCGTGGGGTGAGTCCAGTGAATCGACCGGGGAAAGGGTAACAGAGCTCTCCAGTAAGGCACTCTGCATGTCCAAGGTCAGCTTCTTATTACGGGCCTTGACTGACTCCTTCAGGCTGGCAGCATGTTGGCCTCCCAGGCTAGAACCCTTAGCACAAGGCCTGCGGTTCTTCTTGCCCTGTGGGGTGTTCTTCAGACTAGGCATGTAGGCGCCCGGAGGGCACATGAGAGGAGACAGAGAGTGTACCCCAGAGAGGTGGTGTCCAATCCCTCCATGGCCCTGGGGGCTTCTTACTGTGTTGTACTCATCAAGAAGCTGCACAATATCGTGGTGCATACGCTCCTGAGCAATGTCCCGTGGCAACCTGTCCATATGGTCTGTGATCTCTCTGTTTGCAAAGTGAGCCAGCAGCACCTTCACAGCCTCACAGCTGCCCTCACGAGCTGCAAGGAACAGTGGGGTCTCCTCCTACAAAGAAAAACAAGGCAACAAAACAAAGAGGTTGTTAGATACAAACAGATTTTAGTTGAAGCCTCGCTGATCCAAAAGTGTGGTTAATATTAAACATGGATGTCATACCTTGAGATCCTGCATGTCCTTGTTTGCACTGTTCTTCAGCAGGGCAACAGTCGCCTCGACATTGTTAACGGCTGCAGCCCAGTGCAAGGCGGATTTACCTAAAACATAAAACAAACATTGAGATTACACATCCATGCTTTCAGTGAATATTATTACAAAACAGAAACAACAGCATCAGGACACCCACTTGAGAGAAGAGTTACAAACTTACCCAATTCATCTACTGCATTGACATCAGCATGACAAGTGATGAGTTCTTCTACCATGCCCTCTACTGCCAGTCGTGCTGCCAGGATCAGCGCAGTGGAGCCATCGTACATACGGGAGTCAAGATCTGTAGCCCGATTTCGGATCAGAATCTAGGAGGATGAAAAATTTTTGGGGGGTTAAATATTATGATTTAAGCAATACATGTGCTTACATTTGTTATAGGCATTTCTAACACCGCCAATAAAAAGTACATGTTGTTTACCTGGAAGACCCCCTGTGCATCTGCGGCCACTGCAGCATGTAGAGGTGAGCGACCAGTGTTATCCTGAGCATTAGCATCTGCACCAGCATCCAGCAGCCTCTTAGCAGCATCAGCACGGGCGTAGCGAGCAGCCAGGTGGAGCGCTGTCTCCCCAGTTCGGTCTGTTTGTGCAGCTAGGGAAGCTCCCTGGTAGATTAGGTCAGAGATGATGTTGGCAGAACACTCCTCACTCTCCTCCTCCTCTGTCACCTCAGGCTCTAAGCCGCCTCCACAGAATGATGCCAGCATCAGAGGTGTAAAACCATCTGATATGAGATGAAAACAGTGGGTTGGATTGTATCTGTTCAA